GTTTTTTTTTTTTAACAGTACAAATAAATTTCAGTGAAAAGAGTTGGCGTTTAATTTTTTTTAATGTACAGTACATACTGATTAACTATATTGAATCCCATTCATGTGTTAGTTAATTTTGAAATTTTATTGGAAGTTTATAAATGTCCGTATTTATATATATATTAATAATTGTTAAACACTACGTAGCCAAAATCATGCGTATGAGGAAATTCAACGTTGACATTATTATCGTTATGACTTACCCTTTAGTATTTATCTGTTATCGTTATTACTATACATTACTACGTATACATTACTATACGTATATATATATATATAGTTATTTATACATTTAATCACATGATAACGACTTAGGAGAGATTTAAATAAATTTTTGTTACAGCATTAAGGATGCTCCCTCAACGTGATTAGCGGTGATTAATGCGGTTAATCAAAGAACGATTTAAAAAATTCATAGTGAGAAATTGATAGTGAAATTTTCGGAGTTTAAATTTTAGCCAACCAGATCAACTCGCTAGCAACTCTATGAAAAAAGCACCTCCAGATTTTATTCATCGAAAATGAATGATAACTCACTTGGTTAATTTATTCAATTTTCAACTAATTAAAAAATTTGCTTCCGATCTATTGAATGGCCCAGTTCATTGCTTCATTGCTCCATTTGAAAAATTTTTTAATACTGTGTATTAAACTTTATTATATAATATTCTAACAATATATATTAATGTATTTCATCGTGACTTTATCGCGATAATATATTGCATTTAGAATACAAGTTATGATTGGACTCTATAAATACAAATTCTCTATAAGTGTACATTTCCCGATAACGTGCACTTCATATAGAATAAATTTATACTATATAAAAAGAAAGTGCTTTATTGCCTACTCTACATAAAGAATACTCTATTTCCATCACATAAAACACCCAAATATAAACAAAAAAAAAAAATTCTATGATGTAGTTGGTTAGTTCAACAGATAAGTTATTGACATCTTTTTACGAATGTTATCTGAAGGAGGAGCAAGAGTTGTCGGCTGTTGTTGGCTGCTTCCAAATTGAGGATAGGCCACTGGGTGATTTCCAAATGAAGAATGGTCTGGTTGTTGGCTTCTTCTTAAGGATCTATGAATAATAAGTTAACAATTTTAAATAATGTATTTAAACCGAAATTTTTTATAGAAAAAATTTGTGAATAATAAGCACAATTTCCAAAATTTACTGAAAAAAGTATTTTGGATTGTCCCTTATATGCACAAAATTAATTATTTATACCGAATTTGATTCACTAAAAAAGAAAAAATATTTTTATTTTAATTAATGAATCCGGATCACGTGACATAGGTAGGAAAAAAAAAACCATACTCCGTTTACGTTGAAGGTTATTCCAATGATTGCGCACCATAATCGGACTGAAGCAGGGGAAATATGAAGCGATAAGTTTCCATTGACGACCATGTTTTCTATACAATTCTTGAATTTTTTCGGACTCGGATGGAGTGATTCTACGTTTATTTACTAAAAGATTTATTATTATTAACTAGCATTTTTAATAAAAAAGAACATGAAAATTTGAAAACTAATATATACTTGCAGGGTTTTGATGATTCAAATAGCTAAAAAAAAATAAAAAAAATTTCCAATTTAAATACATAGTTTTTATTTTTGAAAACGCATTTACATAATTTTAACTTACTGTTCTCGAATTTGACGCTGATCGCGTGTTTGCCCCATATGCATAGCGATTGCTCTCCAGTTATAACCATGAGTTTGAACCAATGATTGTAGCAATTGTTTTTCCTATTAATATATACATTTTTTAATAATTTATATTATATCGTTATAGTGTAAGAACTAGGCAACTGTAATTACTTGGTCATCCCAACGACCACACTTTTTTTGCGAGTTCATGGAATTTTAGTTCAGTTATAAATTAGTAAGGATGTAAAAAAAATCTAACAAAACTAATCTTCTTTTAATTAGGTCAAGTAAGCATACGATAAAATAAAAACAATGTAGATTGACATCTTTGAGAAGATATTCACTAAAGATTAAGAAAATAAAATAAAATAAAATAAAATAAAGTGCTTAAAATTTTGAAAAAAAATATATACTCCGGGAAAGGTTAATATATATATATCAAATGTTCAATCATGTGAAAAACCCCAAATTATGTATGGATTTGGATTGAAACCAATTTTTGGGTACCAAGACTGTTTACAACATTCTTATCGTTATGGTAATGCTTCAATGAGGCTTACTATTTTGAAACTATTGAAACCTTTTTTTTTTTTTTTTTGCATATAATGTAACAAAGTAATTACAGCCCTAACCTTGATCCAAGAAAGATTACCAACTTCTCATGAAATAAGTAATACATATTCTGTAACATGTGAAAAAAGAATAACCGATATTTGACCAATCTGTTTTTGTACAACACAAAATTTTAAGATAAAAAATTAATTTTTTCGAAATTAAAAAAAATTCAGTGGGAGATATTAATTTGTTAATTTGAGATTAGAATTTTAAACCTTTACCTCGAATTATTTCGATTTCATTTTTACTGTATAAAAGATAGCTTTTATTATCTTACAACGCTTAGAGTTCATTTGTAATTAGTACTCCGCAAAATCAAATCAAAATTTGAATTTGAATCAAATTTTTTAAAAATTTGATCAAATATTTTCAAATAATTGATTCAAATTCAAATTTTGATTTGATTTTGCGGAGTACTATTTGTAATTACAAATTCCGCTCATATTACACACTTCTCGTGACGTAATCCAAATTGTCAACAACATCTTCTAATTCTGTAATTGAAAAAAAAAATAAATTCGCCATTTAATTATAAACCAATCAAATGAAACTATAAGAGAAGGATAAAGATTTGAACTAAAATGGACGCGTCTTACCAGTTTGAGTTAAAAGCAAACCTTTAGATATTGTTTACATTTTAGGCTAGGTCAAGTGATAATTCACTTATATGTTACAGGGATAGATACAATTGTAAAGTACGCACATAGATTCTTTCTTTTCAATTGATTTCTTATGTTTTTTTTTTTCATTAACTAGATCAAAATATAAGGAATTAAATACTGTATATAGGCATAATTGTTAACTCTGAATATGATTAATAAAGAAAACGCTATATTGTTTAGTTTTAAGGATAAATACTTATTAACACTAATTTTGTTTAACTCTTTATTTTATTTTATTTTATTTTATTTTATTATATATTTATATTTTTTGGATTTGGCATATTGGTCTCTTCGATATTTATAATATTTTTGAGTTAAAATATTTCGTGAATTCTAGATTTTCAAAATAAACCAAATTGACACGAAATATTTTTATATCTCACCTGATCGGATTAATTTGCGGAAAAATTTCAAATAAAGTTTAAATTATTATATAAAAAAAGCAAACAAATCAATTAATAAAAAGGAGTAAAATGACTAAAATTACAATGAACATTTATTTCATTTAAATTTTTTTTTTTTTTTAAAAAAAAAAAAGATTGCTTTTATGTTGATAAAATGGATCTCCGCGTGTTTTATTTACCATACATGCTAATTTATTTCTTTTTGATGTTATTCTTTACACGAAATAATCTACTGATCCTCAATAAATTAACTAAATTAACAATTATTTACGACTTTTTTTATCTTTATAATGAATTGTTATCACGTTTTAAAATTATATATTGCCATATAACATATTGAAACTTCGTGAACATTTCAAATAGATATTGTATTCTATATTCAGAATAAATGCTAAAGCATTTATTCAAGCAGTTTTTTTTTTTTAACAGTACAAATAAATTTCAGTGAAAAGAGTTGGCGTTTAATTTTTTTTAATGTACAGTACATA